GCGGTACTATCCCCAAATATTTTTAATTTATTGTTAGAACTTGTCATATGTAAGTACTTTTTTTACAATTGTCATATGTAAATACTTTTTATACAATTTGTCATATAAGTACTTAGTGAGCATGAAATAAATCGTTGAGCATCTGTTTTTTCAAACTTGGGTACGGTAATTTTAGGAAAGTACGCAGGCAGCCAATGGCCTAAGAACTTCCTTGCCCTTCTCTTTCGTGAATCAAAGACTTTTAATAAAACATTAAAATAAAGATAATATCGTGCTAAACAAGATTTTTGATATAAATAAAATTGTTAAAATATTAAAAAAATAAGTACAATTAATATTTTATATTATTAATTTCTACAGTTTCGTTTTCTCAACTCAATGATCTATGACGTCATTGTAAAAATGGAACTATGGCGGTGGGGGATTCAGTGATGTGAATTGTAATATAATGGAAAGTTCATTAAGTGTCATTCATTCTTTTAAATTCATTGGTGTTTGCTTTGATTAGTTTTCAAAAGTTTTTCTTCTGTGTCTAAACTACGTCATTTTTCTTTTATCTTCCACAAAATGGACACTGGTGACGATGAACTATATGATGCTGATTCTGGTAACGAATCAAGTGCTGAAGATGAAGATGAACTGTCGATTTCATTAGAGCCAGAATCCTCATCGAGAGAAAAATTAGAGACTGAAGAGTTTCATTACGAAGTTCTGTCTACAGAACAAATTGTTCAGCACATGGTGGATTGTATACGCGAAGTAAATACTGTAGTACAGGTAAAATGTTTACTCTTAGTGTTAATACGTAACTTTTGTTTTAGGATATTCAGATGCGTATTGCTGTCCAGCTGGAATCAATGTATATTTTATTAATGCACGTAAAGTTTAACCACATTTTGGGTAATTTTTGCTAACATATTATTCCCTATAATAATAATTTGTTTTATATTTTCATGTCTATCCGCTCTTACGTATTTTGCATTGTTTTTTACAGATTCCTCCTACTATTACACGAATTCTTTTGAATCATTTCAAGTGGGACAAAGAGAAGCTGTATGAAAGGTATATAAAATTAAATGCATTTTCAGAGATTCTTGTATAGAATCAAAAGCTAGCGAAATACAGTTTTTCTTGTGCCCAGTGTGCATGAGATCTGAACGGAAGCGACTTTTATCTCTGTAAAGTGAATTTAACGAAAATGTTATGTTCATAGTATAATAAGCTCATTTTAAGCACTGTCCCATAAAAAAAAAAAAAAAAAAAAAAAAGATAAATTATATTTAAATGTTTAATAGAGCAAGATGAATAAATGACTATAAATATATTTCTCAGTTTAACGTATAAAAATCAATTGAAAAATTTTTTAGATAAAAATTTAGCAAATCAATAAAAATAATTTTTTGTAAAGTCTGTTTGTACCTGAGTATTTCCCCCCCCCAATTAGTTTGTAAAGTATTTGAGGCAACTTACCATTGTTTGTAAATGTACTGTAAGAGGGAGTATGACATCACTGCCTATGTACTGCCCCTTTTAGGGATTTCTCCCTTACTTGTGCTCAATAATCTCAAGGTAAGTGATCCTGAAGTGGCCGCCAAGTTATTTTTCCCTTGATTTTGTTAAAAAAAAAAAAAAAAATTGTAATAATTTTATCATGTATAACCATACTTATTTCATATTTAATATAAGTAAACTTTTTTATTTAAAAAAATGAATTAGGTTACAAAACAAAAAGGTTTAATAACATGAAAGGGACAGGCATTTTTACCATTGATCACGCATTTTAAGATCTATATTTTAAAACAAAATTCAGTTGGTTTTTTTATGTTTTGAATTGTAGAAATATATTATGGTCATCTCTATGCATTGCATTGCTCAAATTAAACTTTAAACATAATTTATCATGAATTCTGTTTCTTATGGGTCAGCATATGTAAGCAAAAATTGAAAGTGGACCAATAGCTATGATTTTTTTTAACCTATCCTAAGAAACCTGCCAAGCAGTTTCTGGCAGTGGTTATTCCAATGGTTATTATTTTTGCTGTCATTTACTATTTTTGCATGAAAAGTAGTTAAAGTTTTTAATTTGATTTCATGGAGTCGGTATTTATTGCATATGTATTCTAAGATTGACTGGTAGTAAGCTTTTCATGTATTAAAACTATAGTCAAAAAGTTTTTTAAATTAACTTTGATTTTTTTCATATAAACTGCTGCTTAATTATTTCAAAACTTATTCATTATAAAAAAATGTGTTCAAATCATTAATAAAATATATTGAAAAAGGTGCTAAAAATGAATTTGCATAATAAATTATTGATATTTTTCGCAGATGTTAGTTTTTGTTACATACAACACAAAGATTGTCTGCAGTTTGAGACTATTAGATATCCTGCAGAATATTTTGATTTTGAAGTAGGTTGAAGTGAACATGACAAAACTCTAAAAAATAAGTACAAGTTTTATTAGAATTTAATTAAACGTTTTAAACCATTAATATAAAACATCTATCTGTCTTTGATATTATATTTCTTCTAATTGAAATGAAGATGCAAAAATACTTTTTATGTTATATTTCTTCTAATAAAGATTAAAAGTACCTTTTTAAAAATTTTCATTGGGGAGAGATATCAATCTTTTCTCTCATTAACGTTTTCAGATAGATGGAAACTGTATAGTAGTCACTTTGTATCTCAGCAAATGAAGAGAGTGAATATAAAGGAAGTGTTCTATACACAGAATGCATGTTTATATAACTCTGTAATATAGTAGCTACTGTTGCAAGTCTTGAAATCAGAAAACTTCTTTAAAGGTAACAGCAAAGAATTTTAAGGTCTGTCATGAGAAAAATAAAGCTGAATAAGTTTAAGCAAATTTAAAGAATTAAAGTGTAAGCAAATTTAGAGAATTAGCGTAAACTTTAATTCTCTAAAACTTGCAGCTGAAGCAAAAGAATAGTTTGCAATGAAAATATATCAGCCAAATAGCAAAAAGGAATCTTTTGCAGATGATGATTTTTGTTAGATTCTTGATTTGAAATGAAAATATAACCCAAAAATTATCTGCAAGTTGAAACTGTTAGTTCTGCAGCAGCAACAGGTTCCGTGCAGATGTTTAGTAATTTCAAATTTAAATAAATATGGCAAAACTCAAAAGTGAGTGCAGAATTTTTTTTTTTTTTTTTTCCATAAAAAATATATATAAAGATATTGTAGTTGGCGTTTGTAAAACCAGTGATAAGTAAAGATTTTAATGTATTTGGATCCATTGTACGAATTACTATGTGGCAGAAGCCTTACAAAAAATTTAATCAAAAATACCTGAATTTACTGTTAAACAGAGGTGGAGGCATAATAATTTGGGAATCTTTAGCTACCTCAGAAATGGTAAATTTAATTTTTTAAACACTGTGTATGTTTTAAAAAGTACAAGTGATTTTGTATGAAAATGCATATGTGTAAAAACTTGAAATGCAGAATGCATTTAAGTTTTATGAAGGTAATGATCCTAAATATGCAATTTTGTCTTTGCTTTTGGCCATTACATGATTCCCATAAATTTATCTGTTGTACATTACAGACTTTAAAACTGTAAATCCAATTGAAGATGTATTATAGAGTTGAAGTCTATATAATGCATTGGAGAAGAGACTGAAGAAACACTTTTTCAAAAGCCAAACTACAAATCACTTTGACTGAATGGAACAAATTTAAACATTCTGGCATTAAAAAAAATATATATTTGGAATGGAGAAAGTGAAAAATTGGCCACAGCTCGGTGCGATTTTTCAAAATCACCAACTAGGCGCAATCTTTCGTCTTGTCTTCCATACTCACAACTTCTCCAGAAGACATTATGCAATAACATGACATATGAAATGGCAAAAACTAAAATAAATACAAAAAAGGCATTTGAAAAATTTTTTAAAGACTGACAGTTAATGCAAAAACATAGTAATTTTTTAAACTTAAAATCATTGCAAAACTCCGAGAAAGTAAAGTACTTGTAGAGTCATTAGAACTTTTTTTAAAGCAGGAGTACTTAAAAAGTTACTAGTGCCCTCACCAGGACTCAAACCGAATATGTGCCGAGTGTGCTACCATTACACCACGAAAGCATGTTGGAAGGAAGGAGAAAATAACCTTACATACTCCCCCTTTTAAAGGGTGAGTGGGAAGGGATGCAATTGCCAAATCCTGGTAGTGATGAATTATTGTCCACCACCTTTTAATTTGGGCACCACTGTAGAATCATTAAGATATTTTGAAGGAGGAGACATGAAAAATCAACAATGCCCTTGCTGGGACTAAAGCCTGGACCTCTCGAACACATGCTAACATTTACACGATGAAGACATGCTGGAAGGAGGGAGAAAAGACCCCAGGGTGTTTCTCTTAAATCCTTTTCATTTATTTTTTTAAGATGAGGATGGCCTGAGCACATCAGCATTTAATACAGTGTCACCATTAGAATCATGAAAAAATTCAAAAAATTCTTTTATACATGAAGGAGAAGAGGGGGATGGTTGTTAATACAGTCAAAAGTCGTTAATCCGGACTCGTCGGGACTTCGGCGATTCCGGATTATCGATTTTTCCAGATTATAGATCATCAGTTTAAATCTGGTAAGATGGTATGCAGAAATTACAAAATTAAAAATATGAAACCGTAATTTATGAAATAAAGAACAATTATGATCTAAAGGGTATCAAAATTTAAAAAAAAAAAAAGCTTAATATTTATTGTTTACTTACTTTATTAAACATTTCTTTCAATGTAAGTTGTTTAAGTTTGCTTTCGTTTTCATGTGATAATACTTTCTCTTTAATTCTATTAAACAGACATAATTTCTTCTTGTTTAGTTACAAAGTTCCGCTGTTCAAGTCCTATAATTGCTGTGTTGAGAATACTGACTAATTTGTCAATCGAAATGTTTTCGTTTTCAATAACCTCTGGGTCACTTTCTTCACTATCGGAAGCGAATTATAATGACGAGGAACTTGATTTAAATCATATCAAAGACGGAGTACATCGAGATGAAATACGACACTTAGTAAGGAATTATAAGCCAAATAAAATAAAAACATCTGCCTGAAGATAAGGATAGTGCTGACAAATCAACTTCCAATCCGCTGCGTGAAATTGATAAACGGATTTCGAAACATACTTTCGCTTTGTAGATACAAATTACATATTGGTAAATATATATCGGAAATTCTATTTGACATAATCGAAAGTTCAAGCTTACTTTTATGAAATTGCTCTAACAGTCTGCAAAAAATAATAAGCCGTATCCAATTCGAAGATTAAGGAACAACGCAATCTGCAACATTAACTGAATTAGATAATGTTAGCTTAGCTTATACCGTCCGTTACACATTAAACGCGCATGCGCACAAACATATTCGCAGCCGTAAAGGTCTTACGTGCACTCGTAAACGCCTGTACGCATTCGTAAACTTCTGCGCATGCGTGAACGCGACGCATGCGCAGAAAGTTTGTAGCTTTGAAGTCCGGATTATACATCATTCCAGATTATGGGTGTCCAAATTAACGACTTTTGACTGTATATAAGAATTGATTTTTGCAGCTAAGTTTCAAAAGCAAAGATTGTAAAACCAAATTTGAGCCACTTTATTTATTGCATTAGTAGAATTGTTTATTCATTGGTGCCAGCTCTACCATTTTACTGGGAGATTCATTTCTTTTTATCGTGTCTTCTGGTGGCTCCCAATATTTAATTTTATCTTTCCTGAGTAAAGTGCTTTTCAGCAATAGGTGATTTTTATTGAAACAATGAAACTTAAATTACGTTTCCCCGCTTCTAGTGATCTTCAATAGGATTTCTGTTATTTTATCTGAATTGTCTTGATCTGCTATAGAAATTTGTAGAACTTAGTATGAAAATTCAACCAATGTTTAATCAGTATTTTTTTGGTTTAATTTGGTTTTATGTCAACACATGGTGCATTACTAAGTTTATTCACAGAATAATAGCTACTTGTGTATTATTGCAACCACTTTAATAGAAGTTGCCAAATCTTCAGAATGCACCAAAATCTGGTAACCATGTGCATAATCATTCTTCAGGCAACATTTTATAACATTCTTCAGGCATGTTTGCTTAACTGTTGTTACTGCAAATCTGTGTATAACTTCAGAAACATTAATACTTTCTACATTCATCACTCAAGTTTTTTTTTTTTTTTTTTTTTTTTAAAGTAGGTTTTTGTGAAAAGAATGTTAATGATTTGAATTAATTTGTATATCATGATTATTGCCTTTAATTTGTATATTTGAAAGAGAAAAGTAAATAAAATATTATTTCTGGAAGTAAATTTCTTATTAATGATTATATTCATTTTACTTTTAAGTATTATTGATGAACTGACATTAATTTTTTAAAATTTTTATATTAGGTATTATGATGGTGATCAAGATGCACTTTTTAAAGAAGCCCACATAATTAATCCATACAAGAAGCCTTCAAACTCATCATCAAAAGTATGGTTTGATTTTTATACCTAAAATTTGTTGTTATATCAAATAGATATATTTTCTGAATCTTGTATTTCCTTTCATTTGATTTTTTTTTAATATAAAAATAATGATTTTTTTTTAATATAAAAATAAAAAAAAAAAACATTTAACTTATAGTAAAAAGTTGTAAAGTAATTAAAGAAAGTTTTAAATAAAAAAAATTAGATGGCAGCTATCAGATTGCATCTGGCCCCAATATATTTTTGGCGTGACCTTTTTATTATATTGTGTTTATTTGCCTTATTTTATTGTGTAAATCTTAACTGTTAAAACTGTTCGAGTAGCAGCTTTTGGTCATATGTTTAAAAATGTGTGCAACAATTTTTTTTTTTTCTTTTTTTTCCCCCATTTATCAGACTTCACTTATTTGCAAACTTCCAGCTCAACCACAAACTTGCACAACTGATTAAGAGCTTTTAAACAAATTACGGTGTCCGAATACAAAGAATTCTGCATCTGTTGGGTTTAAAATAAAAACTTTGAGTTAGTGTCTGTCTCTCCGAGTTTGTGTGCTTGAAAAGTTATCGTAAGGTGAATTGTCACTAGTGCTTTTTTCGGAGTCTTGGCAAAGTATATATTGCTTATTTCTGTGAGACGTGCTGCTGCATCTTTCTAAAATTGAAAATTCTCAAATCATAGTCCAGAAATAGATTAACATGACATCATCAAAAATTTTCAGTATTATGCCAGAAATGGAAGGAAACAAAATTACAAGTTGAGCATTCTGAAAAATGATTAAATTAAGTCTTAAATAACATGTTAAATCATTTCTAAAAATTACAGGTAAAGATGTGATCATTTGCATGAGACTTTGCATATTTGCATTCTATAATTGCAGTTTACTTTTCTTAGATCTTGATTTTTTGTATTAAATTTTTTAATTAGATTTTTGTGTACATGAATTTGTAATTATGATTTTGCCATGTATTAGAGGTTAGAGAAATTGGTCTGCTTTTAATGTCAGAAGTTTATGTTTAATGTTTTAAAGTCATATGCATTAGAAATTTGGGTAGGTACTTTTCCGTTTTGCCGGCGCAAGCGATAAAGTCGCCAATAATGGTACAACCCATGCCAAAGGAAATATTCTCGCTGGTAACCTTTTACGCCTCATTTTCAAAACAAGTCGCAGCTTTTTCTTATCAGATTGATTGTTTCTTTCAATACTGGCATATCATTACATATAATTTTTATGAGATAGTTCAGTTTTATGTTTAAGACAAGGCAATTTTCGGTAATTAAGTCAATAAGGATGCAATCACAGCACTTACCCGACCGAAGCCGAAAAATATAGAAAAGGTAAAGTCAAGGGTTTAAATTCATCAATTCTAATGAGAATGTATTAGCGAAGTAAAGCACTGCAGTTTTACATAATTTCTGAGTAAGCTATTCGTACGTCGAATTGAAATATTCTTGCATTTAAACTTGTGTTCCAAATTAAGATTTAACTTGAAATTAATGTGGATAATTACTAAGAGCATTAGATTTTTGTAGAGTAGTTTACTTGAGATGAGATCGCTTGGGGGTCACGTGATATGAACCGGCGAATCAGGATGTTGAACCATGAAAGCATAGTAAATTCTTAATGTCTTTTTACAAATTTGTTGTCTTTATTTATTGGCTTTTTATGAAATTTTAAGCGACATTAAAATGTTTATGCCTTCTTTTTTAAAAAGAATTCTTAGAACTAACATTTTTTTAATATTTTTTACGTGTATACTGTATGTTGTCGCCAATAAAGTCTGCTTGGCGAGATTTGCACCGGCGAAACGGAAAAGTACCAAAAAAACATTGGAACATGAAAATTTGACTAATTCTAAGATGATCACAATAGTACATAAGTACTGAAATTTGTTTTTAGATGCAATACTTCTCTCTCTGTTACTCTTATATTTTGCTAATGGATTAGTAATATTATGATACAATTGAATAAGTAGTGATATTTGAATTAATAAGTGTGCTGGAGTATGTTTGAGAGGAAAAAATTATTTTTATTTGCAGTTTAGCTTTTATAAGAATATATCTGACTAGCTTTTATGCTTTTGTTACTTAAAGTTGAACGAAATCATAATTGTATTGAATGTAGAATTTAGTAAAAATATTCTGAATGTAAAATGTTGCTAAATTTACTAGTTTGAGAAAGTCTTAAATCTGTTAATACAATTAATTGGAATCGTGTATGATTGTAAGATACCTATCATAAGAAAAATTGGGTTTACTTTTTTTTTTTTTTTTTTTTTTTTTTTTTTTTTTTTTTTTTTATTTTTTGAAAAGAGATTCAAATCTTCCAATCAAAACCTGAGTTAAACATAAAAGTATTATTTATTACTTTAATGTATTTTATCGTGTTTGATGTTATTGTACATTTTAAAATTAGCACAAAGTAATGTAATGTGTTTTCTATATTCTGCTACAGTGTAACAATTTTAAGTAAGCATTAAATTGATTTGATAGCTAATTAAAATTAAGCTTTTAAGCACAAATACATGTTTTATGATCATACTGATTATTTTAACCGCTTCCCTTACAAATTTTTTTGAAAAAAATTGTAAAAAATCATCACATTTTTTTATTTTATTATTAAATACAACAATATGAAACAAATCAAAATATGTAGGTTTTAAGTTGAATTTTTAATATTTTGAAGGTGTAAAAGCATTTATTTTTAATATTAGTTTACTATTCCGAGTTATCTCGGGCAAACGGAAAAAAGTTAAGTATTAATCTTTGTATGATAGTTTTGAAACAAGGGACAACACAGAGTGATGCCCGACATTCTACACTGGTATCTGGTCTCTTTTCTTACTGGCTTGCTGCTGGAATCTCTTTCACAGGAGCTCAGAGTACACTGTCTCGTTGAATTTGATTTCCCCCCCCCTCATCTCTTCATAATTATTATCTGAAAAATCATCGCTTTCGCTATCTTGCATCATCGCCATCGTTTTATTTTTTTTTCAATGCATGCATCCTTCTTTATACATTACTAATCCACAAGCCAACGTATACAATACAATAGGGAAACACGTGACCAGTTCCTCCAAAAGAATCGTGCAACCAACAAAATTTGGCAAATTGCCAATCAAAGCTGAATATTTCCTTTCATTTCCTCCAGACCGAATAAAACCATGATAAAAGAAATCGTACTAACAAATTCTGCTTCGCCCGAGTTTTCTCGGGATAATAATTAACTGCAATATATACGAACCCGAGATAACTCTGGATAATCAGGCAAGCGGATAATACAGTTCATTTTAAAATCCATAATAAAAATACTGTTAATCGTCCATTATATGCCATGGTTTTTATCCTAATTATAACTGATGAAATTTTATTTTTCCTATAGCTGTATTTAAAAGTACTTTCATGTTATAAAATATTTTTTGCTATATGTAGGATTCCCGATTTGCTCCTCGTACAGAAGAATGTGAAATATGCCTAATGAATATTCCACGAAATGTAAGAATTTGTGTTTTCTTTTTTATAAGGCTAAAAGTTAGCAGTAAGAATTTGAATGACTTGATAAATTATTATTGTGACACTTATTTAACTAGTTTATTATATTTCAAAGAATTCTGTTCTTTGATTTCGTAATGTAAAAGTAAAGTCATGTATATAATAAAACTTCAATATCTGTCTCTACTATGTTATTAGAACCCATATGGATATTTGGAAACCTTAAATAATTGAGCTCTTTGTTTCTATTAGTCATATGTGTGTATTATTTACTGTAATGCATGTGATGTAAATTCATTCATCCTTTTATTGTATTTTATTTCTATAAAAAATATTTTTAAATTTTACAAAGCAAAGTGCAAAACACTATAATATATAGTTCATTTTTTTCACATGGTGAAAGTAAAGCAATGAAATTAATTTTTATTTATGCAGATTCTAAGACTGTAGTGTGTAACCATGAATTCTAAAACTAAATTAAATTGAATTATTTTTGGTACTTTTGGCATTAAACAGTACCTGACAATATGCTGTCGATATTCTGTTGGCACATGATATATATATATACAGTGTTCAGCAGTTTGTGAAAATTAGTGCTTTGATTTCTGGCTGGCATTGTTTGGTAATAATGTACAGAATCACATTAAACAGGTTTTTATTCTGTACTGCCCATGTCTCTCTTTATGTAAACTCAGCTGAATAAAATGTTAGGATCAGTTTCTCTTTCTTATTCTAACAGTTTGTGAGCAGTTGTTAACATTACATTTTCACCATGCATTTTCCATCATGTGCAATTTCATTGCATGAGAACCTGAGCAGTCAGAATTTTTTTGGCTAAATATTGCATGCCTAGAGGTAATGGATTGCTCCTGCATCATTTCTTGGTTTGTCCAGTAAATGCACGATGCAAAATGTAGTAAAAATTAACATGACATGAATAACTGTTATGCCCTGAACTTTGCTGGAAAATGCTGAGAAAGTAGAAAGATGTGTACTTACGCAAGAAATTTCTTTTTTCTCCTACTGTTTTTCTTGTGGGAGTATGCATTATAATAATATTTAGTCAAGCTCTGGTTTATATTATTTTGCATTTTTACATTATATATATATGTGTGTGTGTGTGTGTAAAATACAAGAAAATATGACAGCTGCTTTAAAAATAATTGGCGACCTCAAAATTAATGATTCTAGATTTGGTGCTGTTCTCTTAAATTCATTTTTCTCCAAAATTCAAGATCCTTCTATGTTATGAAACAACTTCAAATTAACCAATCATAGCTTGTCTCTACAAATGCATCTACTTTGGTATAAATACCGCTGGCAAATTCATTATGTCATCCCTTTTCTTTAGCTTCTGCCACACCATCCACGCTGCTTTGCTTCCCTGTCTCAAATGCCTGCGTCATTTCTTTGAAAAACCAATGTACATAGCAATTTATCCTATTTAATTATAATTGAATAATTGTCTGCCAAACTAACTGGATATGTGTGAAAATAAAGATTGGGTGATTTATCGAAATCCAATTCATTATCTGCATCTGTATGCCTTAACCGTAAGCCATGACTGCTACCGAAAGCTCTTAAGAGCTCCAACATTTCCTTCTATGCATTAAATCATTACATATATATATTTGAGCTTTGAAACTGAAACTCTAGCTGAAGTCTAATCTCATGTACTGGAACTGAGAAGGTTATTTTCTTTCTCTCTCTTAATAAATTTTCTGTCAGTCAGCCAAACTGAACTATGAGTGAAACACATTTTATTTTCAAAAGTTATTATTGCTTTTATCCTATTTTAGATGCATTAAGATAGTATCATGCTTCTGACTGCATGTAAGGTTATTTAACCATATTTCAGGGGTTATAAATTTCATTTTATTCACTCCTGATATTAGAATAATTGACTTCTTTTCTGTGCAAAAAATTTTATTTCATTGCTAGAATTGGTTAAAGAATTTTTCCTGTTAACTTTTATTTGCATAGCATCCTATGCATTTTACTGTTTTTATGTATTATGTTTTGTGTGCATTACTGATATTTAGGAAGTCGGTTATTTGAAAGTGCTGCTAAGAGTTTTTTTTTAACCTTTTGTTATTGATAGGCCTTTTATAAAATTTTCTTTTGAACCATCATAAATAGTGTTTTAGTAATGTATAAACACCCAAAAATAGGTGTATGTAATCCAGGGTGAGTAGACCAATAATCGTTTTGTTCTGGTTTTCGTACTATTCCCATTAGGATAACAAACCCCAAAAGTTTTTTAATTTCTACAACATTTGTATCAGCCAAGCTTTATTCTTTTTGATTCATTGTTGTTATCATTATTCTGCTAATTATGATATAAATTTGTTTGTGTGGCAAACAAATTAAATAAATCGTCCCCAATGAACAATTCCACAGTTGATAATATATCTGGTATGTATGGTACCTGTAACCCAAACTGTTCCAGGCAAGCATGAAAGTTAGGTTCAAAATCAACTTCTGACCAATCATTTGCCACAAAATTCTCTTCATCACTTCAGATTCACTAATTATTGGTCTTCCCTTATTTTTAAATCGCCTCGCAATTCTATCGCTTCCCACTGTCCGAATCACTTTCACTATCAGAACAATTATCCTCTTCTGATAACAGATATCAGCATATATTTCCTTCATCGAAGAGCATTTTGAAGGATATCTTTAAATCTAATATAAGTTTTCGATATTTGAAGGCAGCGAAAGACAGTCTCAAACTAACAAAACAAGCGTCCACAAAAAAAGATTTCAATAATAGACAGTTTGGTGAATTGGAAGAGGAAAACAGTTGAAACCAATGTTTCCTGATCATCAAATGTTTTGCTATAGTATGTCTATCTACACAAACGTCGATGTGAAGCATCGTCGTTGGCGAAAATAAGTCACGCGTACGTAACAGCGGCCGATAACTGTTGCCGAGCAAAAGTCACGCCAGCATGACAGCAGCCAATAACCGTTGGCGAGCAAAAGTCACGCCAGCGTGACAGCGGCCCGCAAAGTGTTAATAGTGCATTTTAAAATCATTTTAACATGCCCTTTCCAAGTCAATTTAGAGTCAAAAACAATACTCCAAGTATTGAAAGCTGTTGGCTTCATGTACTAGTAAAACTTGATGTCTGAATAATGCTGCCTTCTTCTTTAAGCGTATTTAAGAACACTCAAAATTTATCCAGTTATTTTATGCAGTATTTTTTTAAAAATATATTTACTGATAAAAGATATTCTTGCTGATAGTTTCACAGAATGCCAACCTAAATAGGCAATATCTGGCTGCATTTTGCATTCATGATTGACAAAATATCTGTCCACACAAAGATAGGTATTGCAGTTAAATTACGAAAAAGCAGGCTTAGACCACTTTTAGAATTAATAAAATAATATGAAGCATTTTAAAAGAGAATAATATAAAATGTAAGTTTCAGTGTATCTCTGTGAGAAATTTCTTTTTTTTATTTCTGTGATTATCATATGTAGAATTAATCATATTTGTTTTGTTTGTATAGCAAAAAATAAGTATTTAATAGAAAGAACAGTTCTTTAATAAATGGCTCTTTATATTCCAGATGATGACCGGTATTGCATGTGGTCATCGTTTTTGTACAGAATGTTGGAGAGAGTACCTGACAAGTAAGATTATGGATCAAGGTATGTGCCAGGTAAGTAGTTATAATTTTCTTTATTTGTATTATAAGTGTATGCTAAAATTTAAATTGGGGCTTATTATTATTATTATTGTTGTTGTTGCTGGTTGTTATAACCTTTCCTTGCTTCTTATGAAATCTTTGAAATTGGTAATTATGTATACTGTTGTGTTGCATTAATCAAATGTCTGAAGTCGGCTTCTTCGTGCTTATTTTAATTCACAGGAAATATTTGTGTCATTTGTAGTATAATGAATCAATTCAATAAAATTGAATAGAAGAATTGTAATTCATAATTTCAAATTTAAATCACTTAATTTCAGTGTAAAATCTGAAAGAAACCCCAGATCTCTTGAGTCAGGTTTCATCATTTAAATCTGCACATTCGAAAAAAGTTTTTATATCTTAATAATTAAAAATACCATATGACTTCTTTGTATGGCCTATTAAATTATACAAATTGTTTTTGCTGCACTTGAATTTCATTAGAGATAAATTTCTCATTAACTCAGTTCTTACTTTGCTGCAAGGCAAAAATACATAAAAACTCAAAACATCTTCATTAAAAATTATAAAATACATATGATATGAAAACAGTAAAAAAAAAAAAAAAATACAGTTAAATTAGTTTCAGTGCAAAAACAAGCAATTCGGACGGTGGGCAGAAAGACAAAATTTTCAGTGTGCAAAGTTGAAACTTAACTTTCAGCCATACTGGGCAAAAAGACACTGAATTTGGTGCACCTATTGACTTAATTCACTATTCTGTTAAGAGTGTCAAATGTAAACAAATAGTGGCCTCGTTAGGCCACTTTTAAATTATTGATAATTCTACAATTATTGCATACAGATAAACTAAAGACATAATCGGAACATAAAAGCAACATACTTCAGTCATTTTCAAAGCAAAAAAGGAACAATTTACCAACATCTATATATAAAAAAAATGAACGTTTGTTTGCCTTTTATATAAATCTGCAGTTTAATTCTGATCTTTATGAAACTTGCCACACTCGACCTTCAGAATAAGAGGGAGGCCACTGTACTGATTATCTGCATCACAGGTATTTCGAAAGGTACTTTTCCTGTATCTGCCCGTAAAATCATAGAAAAAATAATATGCTACAATGCATAATAATTATAATAAGGCAATGAGAAAAATAAATTTAATTATAAATGGATAGAAGGGCCACCTAATCCTTTTTATCATTGATGTATGGATTATCATGAAGATTTAAACAGTTTTCGATTGCGTGGAAGAACTTCACATTGCTGGAGATGTACTATTGAATCTTTTTCATTGGATGATCATCCAAAGACCTGCATGGCGAGACCAAATAAATCAAGATTCAAGAAGAGATTTAGATAATAAGAATAGCTGCCAAAACATAATGAGATATGTTTGCCAGATTTGTGGAGAGAGAGAAGAAAAGTACCTTTCGAGATAACTATATATCTTTAATTGTAGCAATAAACATGTTCTTAAAATCATTTAAAAATGAATCTGACATTTCCAAGAAAGTCTCTCTCTCTCTCTCTCTCTTTTTTTTTTTTTTTTTTTTTTTTTTCTTTTTTTTTTTTTTTTTTAATTTTATTTTTCACTCAAATCTTTTTTAAACCCACCCTCCAAATGGCTTGTTTTGAATGATGCAGTAGTCACTTTACATTATTTCAACATAGGCTTTTTAAAAACATTTTAGTGAGCTTTTAATTGAGTTTTAAGATGTGTAATTTTATGTTTCCTGAAATCAGTATTTTGTGAGTAATCTGTTTAATTCTTTTCCATGTTATCTTTTTTAATAACAGCTATGAAACCAAAGTATACTAAGCAAAAACATATGCCTTCAGTTTTTATTTATTTACTTATCACTCATTTTTAATGGGCATGAACCCTTAATTTAAGAATTACTTTGTAAAAAATGGTCCCAAATTTCCAATTTTTTTATTGTTGAATTTTAAATTTTGTTGTGAATATAGAGTATTGCTAACTTCAATTTGAAGAATTATTCTTTAAGGGGTGATTGGGGAGTGTTGATAAAAGTTTATATTAAAATCACAAATATACTCCTTGTTTTTAAAAAGTAGCACCACACAGAATGAAATGTCTTAGAAGCAAATATTTTGTTTGAGACTCTTTTGAAACTGTTCGTAGTGTTTTTGCTAAACAGTAAAAATTAATGAAGATGTTCCAATAAAAGGAAGGAGAAACTAAAATCACTGGAATTTGTTTTCTTGATCTGCTGTTGCTTCATGTACACTGTCAGTATCAGAAATGTCACTTTTCGACCCACTAAATTCTATATCTTATCACTCACCATAAACAAAAGCTAGAATATAAAATAACACAATGCAAGCATGTGACTATTACAACTATTAACCTTAACCTCTTTTCTAATCTTGACCCATCTTCTTCAAGTAGTTGTAAAACCGATCAAAGTAAACTTCTTGTGATCGCATTTCTAACCAGCTCAACACAACAGATATATTCAAGATTTAAATTTATAAACAAGGTATTGTCAAGATACACGACTATTCTTGGGCTTTTAAATTTATCTTTTAACTTAAGGGATTAAAATTTTTTTTAAAAAAATTAAAATTAAAATCTGAAACCTTTCAGATTTTAAATTACGTCCAAAGAAGCATTTTTAACAGTTTGTGTGTTACCTTTATCTATTGAATATCATGTTCTTCACACTTAAACCATAAATTTCACTTCAATAGCAATGTCACAAAATAATTTTAAAATGAGCCTATCTTTAGAATTTCCGATTCACAGTTCCGTGTGCTGGAGATAAAAAGGTTCCCCCCCCCCCATAAATTGTTGCCATTGCTTGCTTTCAAATCGTTGAGTTTGTTACTAAAAAATTCATTAAAGTTTTACAAAATATGAAATCGATAATAAAACAAATTCCAATTTTCAAATTCGGTCTTCCACATGCCCATATTCGCAAAAATTCGATGGCTCTATGTACTGTTGTTTTATCACAATGCGAGAAATGTGCATACATTTATGCAGATTTTTCATTATATGCAGGACTCTTAACATTTAGTGTCAACAGTTTGAAAAGTGAAAGGAACATTTATAGTGATTCAATGCAAAATCGGAAAACGAAAACAATAGTCCTTCAGGGACAAAGCCCCTTTGGACTAAAAAAGTGGTAGTTTAAATTCACATAGGCAGTTTAATTTGAAACAAACAAGTAGACAGTTTTAATTTAAAACAGAGAAAGAAAGTACTTGCATTCTTGCACAACTATTGTATTAAGAAAATTTGACACTTTGTTTAGAAACCCTAATATAATATTATTACTATAAAAATGTTAAATACTAAACAAGGAATGCAGAAATACCAACTTATATATTGTTACACCGAGACCAAAAGGCATGCCAAGGAACCCTCTATATCTTGTGTTGGGCAGTAAACCAAAAGACATAGGATGCTAATGCTACTTTAGCCAATGGCAACTATGATACTGAAGTAGACATGACCGAGTTGTGTATGCATGTTGAAATCATCTGCTGTCTGTTTTGTGATAAACCAAATACCAGAATTTTTTTTAATTTTTGAGTGCATTAATTTTTAAAATGCTGCTTTGGACAATAAAAATATTTAGATTACTTCAAGTTGCTAAATTAAAAAATAATAATAAATAAAAATTCTGTGCAAAAATTTTCTCTTCTCTTTTAGTAGCACTACTGTGATCTAATAATTGTTTCTTTCTCTCTATGTCTGTTGTTTAAAGAATTTTGTTTTGCAGATCATTGCTTGTGCGGCTCATGGTTGTGACATACTTGTTGATGATCAGACAGTTATGTAAGTGTAACTAACTTATTTTTTCTATGTAATAATGATAGAAATGTCACCTTAAAACGTATAATCCATAGTAAAAGTTAGTATCCTTCACCTTTGTAAATGTATACAATATGATATTTTATATTGTAGTACTTTTTTGGGGGGGAGAGGTATGTGTGTGTGGGAGGCATGGGTTATTTATGCAATATGGCAGTTTCATAGTCATACAGTAGTGATGCTTATATTAAAAATTTTCAAATGTGTGTGTATTAGGGGGCTTTAAAACATCCAGCAGAATGGTACACAGATAAATTGTGTATTGTAAAACACTAAAAGCAGATTGTTGCAAAAATAAAAACAAACCATATTGCTTCATATCAAAGAAGATAGACTGTTATTAAAAGATGAATGCAAAATGGTTTCTTCTCAGTCACCTTCCAAGTGAGGAAGAGGGGTGGGAACTGATGCATTTTTCAGTGAATCTTGTGCTGTAACTGATAGTATATCTGGCTATCATTGGCTTTGCATTTTTAGAAAAGCAGATGTTTAATGACTGTCAAGTTATTCATACTCAAAAGTTTCAAAATGAGGAATAGGAATATATGAACTGAAGTAGGGATAGCAAGTCAATAATGAGAGGGGCCTCCTCTAGCCTCGATAATGGCTGCCACATCACGAGGCATAGATTCAGCAAATTTGCAGAAGCTTTCCACGACAATGGCTTGCCAGACATTGGCTAGAACTGTCCATAATTCAGGAAGGGTCACTAATGTTGTGTGATGTCCTTTCATATCTTTCTCTAAAACACCCCCAAAGAGGCTCAATAGTATTTAAGTCATAGTTTTTAGGTGGTCAGTTCATGACAGAGTTCATGCAGAATGCTCATCCAGCCAAACAGTAGCCAACACGGACCTGCGAGAAGTGCAGCTATCTTGCTCGAATACTCTGTGTGAATGACAGGACAACATAAATGGATAGAGGTGATCACCCAGCAACTCTAAGCCCTCGAATTGCATTGATGGTGGTTGGTACAAGTACCAAAGATCCCAAACACTACCAAGACAAAACACTGCAGACCATAAATAAACTCCCTATAGCCTTGTTCATCTCCAACCTGGCATGCAGGATCCATGGCTTCATGAGCCTGATGCTATATTCTCAGCCTCCTTTCAGCGTTAAGTAATTGCAATCAAGACTCATCACTCCATGGTATTTGTTTCCAATCCTCTGGAGTCCATTCTCTATGTTCTGTTGCCCAGGCAAAACGTGCAGCCTGATGGTGTGTATTGAGCAATGTAGGTCTGTGCCTCCCAAAGCCCATACAGTGAAGTGAGCATTTCACAGTCATTTACTGACTGTACAACTGGCACCCTAAATCATCTGGGTGGTAATTTGAGCTAATGTTTGGCTTCGCTGGCTACGTACAGTACATCAGTGAGCTATCTTGCAACATGCTATTCAATGCTAATTGTCCTTTGCAGTCCAACCACCTGTGTATTTTTGATATCTCTTGACACTGTGGACCGTGAAAATTCTAGCTCTCTGACAGTTTCGGAAATAGCCCATGCCTCAAGCACCTCAAGCCTCTGCAATCAAAAGTGTATAAATCAGAACTTTTACCCATATTGACAATTGAAGCGACTGCTAGGTATGTATGCAGCTACCACAACGCCCTTGTGTGAGCATAAATGCGACACAGTTTGCATAACAATGTCTATCCCTAATTCAATGGCCCTTCACTATCACTTAATAATGTAGTAAAGACTAACATTAATAATGCAAAGAAAAACAAAATTCTTTACTTGGTTTAAGTAATTAATATAAAAGCTTTCGCTTTTATGTTTTTGTTATTAATCTTTTCTTGTAGTCTTTCATTTGTGTATAAAATAAATTAATTGTTTATTCTCATTATGTATTCCATTTTTAATTTAGGAGGGCTATTTCATTTTCCCATAATAAATTTTAAAATTAGTCTCTTTCCTCCAAAAAAACTAAGTTTTGTGTTTCATAATTGAAATAAAAAAATATATTTGCAAATCCTTTGTGAATGATCCATTTAAGTGTTCAAAATTCAAGTTTTTAAGATCTATATATCAAATATGCAAAATATGCTGCAGCAAGCTGCCACATTTCTTAAAATTTATAAGTATTGTGATAAAACATTGGATCACTTTATTACTAAATAATATGTATTAAAAAATGAGAAATTCTAAATCATGAATTAAAACAATATTTTTTTTTTTTTTTTTTGTGACAGGCAAGAAAATTTTTTAGATTCTAACCTGTGCAAGTATTAATTTGTGTATGCAAATGAATAGTTGCCATGCATTTTAAAATTTGATTTCATTGTTTTGCTTCCTTTTGAATTTCTTTTAGTTTCTCTAAGAAAAACATTCATGGTAACAAACTTGCTTTCATAAATAACTATTTCTTATTGTCTTTCTGTTAACTTCATCCATTCAGATGTAAGCTTATCTGTATCCTAATTCATTAAGGTTGTAACAGCTAAAAATCATTCCTTTGTTTGTGAGACTGATGAGAATCCTTATTAAAGTGTAAGACCATTATTTGGATTTAACTTGTGTATTGTGTGAGGCTGTTATTATCCCTTGATTGTTTAACTCCTGTGTAACAACAAATGATCTGTCATCATTAGGACTATTGTTTTCTTCCTTTTCGTTAATTGTAAAATGTTCTGAATTCCAGTACTATTTCTCTCCAAGCAATTTTATTTTGTTTTAAACATTTCCTCCTTAAAGAAACATTTGCTTTGGGGGAAGGAAGTATCAAATGAGCGATTGACTAAAAAAAAGTAACAAAGAAGCTAATTGATTGGAATAATTATGCCTGAAGTATGTTGTCGAATATTAGCTTTAGGTAACTAAATAAATTATTTCTATTTCAGTTTGAAAACAGTGGCCAGTGGCAGTAAATTACCAAGAGATGAATGTGTCTGTCAATGTTTAATGTAAATAGTACTTGTCACTGAATTTTAGACTGATAGAAAGAGATTCATATAGTCATAGTATATGATCTGGCATTCTAATAGATGTTCCTGGTACTTAGCATTAGTGAGAATATATTGTACCAACAATGCAACTTGGAAGTCATAATGGACTAGAGCTGTTTTTTGTGGCATGGATATAGCCTGTGTGTATTCACTCCTGTGTTTTAAGTCCTTGCACTTAGCTGAAAGCCTCCTCCAAACAAGAAAGAGCTTATTCTAAATTGCTGTTATAATAATGTATTTATTATGACAGCAGTTTGTATGAGCTTTCTCTTGTTTTGTAATGATGGTGCACATGTTGATAAAGCCTACTCTCTTAACTTTTGTGAAGTATTGCAAGTTTAAAAATTGGCCTACCAAAAGCCTTCTTTTTAACCCATCTTGAATATTTTTGGGGTAAATGGCTTATTGTTGATCATTATTGAAAATGTTGGCTCTGTGACAGGCATGGTCACATGGTAGATAGTAAAACTACTGGAAATTATATACAATACTACTGAAAAATGAAAGAAAATTCTTTCAACAGTTTACCTTAGTGTAGAGTTTACTTTGAAACATAGCAGCCATAATAAAAGCAGAAGTCTAACCTTCTTTAATAATATTGCTGTAGTCTTAAGAAAACAGTATAGTGTGTTTGATATGTTTAAGCTGGGCAATGCATGTCACACACACAGTCCTAAGGATGCTTATTGAATTAAATACTCTTTCTTATTTCATTACGTTTTACATTACAGTTGACCTTTCAGTTGTTCAAAAGTTAGGGATGCTGCATAGTTCCAAATCCATATACACTGGTGAAATAAATTTAACAGAATTTTCATATTTGATCTATGATCTCCAGAACTACTGGATAGATTTTAATAAAATTTGGTGTGAACATAGGTTGATGTAATACAAACAAAATAATCATTCAACAGTTATAATAGACACGCATGTTCATGTGTAACACTCATGGGAGTCTGAAGGTCTGAAACAGCGGTTGCGGATGACACAAAAGAAATGGGTTAATAGGGGGTTTGGTCTCTTCTTACAGCCATACAAGCCTCGCAGCGTGATGTCATATTGGAAATACGGCAGTTTATCAGTGCCTGTGGCAATTGGTCCCACTCATTCAGCAATGCTGTTTTCAGTTCCTTGATGGTTCTTGGAGGGAGGTTGTGAGTGGCAATTGCCCTCGCAACCTCCCTTCCAGATATGCTCTATAGGGTTGATAGATAGGCCATTCCAGATATGCTCTGTAGGGTTGAGGTCTGGTGGCTGGCCAATCCATCCGGCGAATATCCTCACTCTCAAGAAATTTGTTGACCAGAAGAGCTCTTTGTGGCCTCGTGTTATCGTCCTGTAAGATGAACTCCTGCACACTGGAAAAGGCGAACATAGGGCTCCAAGATCTTATCCCTATACTTCACACCAATCACAGAGCCTCTGTCAAAGACATGGAAAGGTGTGCGTCCATCCAACATGATGCCTGCCCAAACCATTACACCGCCACCGTCATAATTGTTGATTTTACGGACATTGGAGAGTAGGTAGCGGATCACTGGCTCTCTCCATATGAAAGTATGGCGAGAATTGGTGTTTAGGCTAAAACGGGACTCGTCAGTGACAGAACAGTTGCCATTGCTCTGTACTCCAATCACTATGCTGCCTGTACCATGCTAGTCGGAATTTCCTGTCCGTAGACGTGAGTGGGACGCAGATAGCAGGTCTTCTGGCAAATAACTCTCTTTCATTCAGTCTTTGAAACAGTCACACTTGTTACATGGGTTCCTGTAGCTATAACAGGTCCCGAGAGAGATGAGAAGCTGTAGCCCCTCTGCTACGCCTTGCTAAAATGGACAATAGCAATTTTCTCTGGCCATCTTGGCTTTTGGACAACCTTGCCCGGGCTTTCTCTCGATGGATTAAGTATCCTGGAACTGTTTCCATAGGTTACACGAGACGCTGGGCGTTAAATTAAACTTCACCTCCCACAATTCGCCACCTCATTCCATCATCTAAACAGTGGTGGTTTATCATTTTTACTGTTCCGATGTGAATTTAACCGATTGCTGCAAGATAACACCAAGAAATTCGCCGAGGTGTGTTAGTGAACGCAATGCGTCTTACCCTCCACGCGCTTATAAAGCCTGTTTTTCTGCTGGCTCCGCCTACACACATGTGTATGCTTACGTATTTGCCATACAAAATTTGCATTTTCATCTAGAAGCAGTAGTTTTTCTTCAGTTCTTTTCATGCAATTCGATAAAATATGCAAATTCTCTTAATTTATTTCACCAGTGTTATAATATTTGCATCTTAGTCTGCTGTTGATGAGGTCATATGAGTTACAAAAAGAGTAGATAACATGCATAGTGAATGTTTTTAAGATAACTAGCCATGATTCTGATGATTATTTTAAAGAAGAATATTGATGCTTATGATCTTGGGAAATTTGGTCTCGACTTGGGGAAATGGTCCTTTGATATTGTATTTATTATATAGTGTATCCTTACCGTAAACTATATGAGAGAAAAGAGCAAAATATTAACATACATTTAAGAGTGCTTATTCATTAATAGCGTAAGTTTTCATAAATCGCTTTTTATTAGATGAATCATCAATCTGTTGAAACTTGCATCAGCATTGTGTTATAGATCAAAACTCTACAGCAAAATGTAAATATCTGTTAGAATTTTCTTTCATTTTTATTGTGAATTATTGAAAAGTGGGAGGTATTTGGATGTAACAAATCATCGAAAGACTAGCACAGCTAATTAATATTTTTATGAGTTGAATCTGGCTGATTGCATTTTTATTGATGAAGTCCCTGTTAATAAGACAACTCTTTCTTTAACAATAAAAACAGGAATATATAAACATCATATTAAAATTTTATACTTATTAATATTATATAATTTTTTTTTTAAGTTTCTTTGTATGTATTAAGAAGGGTTTACAAAAAATAATTTTTTTAATTTTTAAATTTCAGGTCTTTAATAACTGATCCAAAAGTGAAGTTAAAATATCAACATCTCATCACAAATAGTTTTGTAGAGGTAATATGTTGCTTAATTTTACTTAGTTAAAATTTGTGTGTGTGTGTGTAAGCAAAGAGTTTTTGAACCAGGATATATCAATTTTTTAATTTTTCCTAAACATTTTTGTTTTTCATTAAATGTATTTAACATAACTTGTTTACTATGGACTTGGCTAATTTAGCTATGAAATATATTTATTCATTTGATAGATTAAACAATAAAGGCAAATTTTCACTCTGCATATAATAGCAATTACCATGTTGTAGTTTTAAGTATTAATTTATTAAATTGAAATTTTTAATGTAATTATTTTTAATTATTAGTATTATTTTATATTTCTCCCTTTTTTAAGCTTTCTTGTTTAGTTGTAAAGTTAAAAAAAAATGCTAATATAAAAAATAATGATATATAATTTAAGCATGTAATGTGCAGCCCTATTATTATTTTAAAGGAAAGAACAGAAGGTGAAAAGTATTTTTGCAGTTTTTTGGGGTGCATTTGTGCATAACAATAAACTACACCCTATGCATGTTTATTAGATAATTTTGTGAACATTAAAAAAAAAAGTTTAAGAAAACATTTGGGTTCTTTAAGAAATTAATTTATTCAATTTTTTTCAGTATAAAATTTAAAGAAATATTTTTAGACATCTCCCTTCTAGACTGCTGTATTTTCCTTTTGTTCTGTAGAATGTTTTCCTGTGCATAATACTTATTTATTTGTTGTGCATCAGAACATTGCTTCAAGATACAGATAGCTCAGTGGTTTTCAACCTTTTTTGTCCCATGCTGCCCCTTCACCATAGCTAGATGATCTTTCCTCCTCCCTCCTTTCCTAAACTCAAAAAATACATATATGTTTATTTAAATTTAGATTTTTTTAATGTGTTTTATAAATTAAACAAGAAAAGTAGAAAATATTGATAAACATCAAAAGGTAACTAAAAGTCATTTTTTTATATTCATAAATAAAAACTAATTACAGTCAAAAGTCTTTAATCCGGACTTGTCGGGACTTCTTCGATTCCGGATTATAGATCATCAGTTTAAATCTGGTAAGATGGCATGCAGAAATTATAAAATTAAAAATATGAAACCGTAATTTATAAAATAATGAGCAATTATGATCTAAAGGGTATCAAAATTTACAAAAAAAGAAGCTTAATATTTATTTGTTTACTTTATTAAACATTTCTTTCAACGCGCGCATGCATAACGCATACCTTACGCATAGCCGAAATTAGAAAATTGCAACCAGAAAACTATTTGATTTGCATTCGTGATATTTATAATGACGAGGAATTTGATTTAAATCATATCAAAGACGGAGTACATCGAGATTAAATATTACATTTAGTAAGGAATTATAAGCCGAATAAAATAAAAACATCTGCCCTGAAGATAAGGATAGTGCTGACAGATCATCAACTTCCAGTTCATTGCGCATCGCGACGCCCCCTCCCCCTGCAGAGCAGCGTGAAATTGATAAAGAGATTTCGGAGCGGTTACATAAACAAAGGATATGCCTAAAAATAATAAGCCGGATCCAATTCGAAGATTAAGGAACAACGCAATCATCAACATTAACTGAAATAGATAATTAGATAATTTTAGCTTATACCGTCCGTTATACATTAAACGCGCACGCGAAAACATATTCTGCGCTTGCTCAGACGCATATGCGCAGTCGTAAATGTCTTGCGCACACGCGTAAAATGCCTATGCGCATGCTTCAACGCGGCACAAGCGCAGAAAGATTTTAGCTTTGAAGTCCGGATTATGGGTGTCCGAATTAACGACTTTTGAGTGTACTTAGCAGTTATATAAAAGGCTGGCAGCATTCCTTCCTTGAAACTGTGAAATTCCTCGATGAGCCTTGAGATGGCTAGTAAACTTAAGACCATAACTGTAACTTGAATGCCTAACTTAAAATTATCAACAGAAATAAAGGACTAAACTTGTAGGATATTTCATTAACTAAAGATAATTAATAACTTATTCCTTTCTCAGAAAACAGTTGTAATTTGAACATGTTTTGTGCAGAAACATGACAAATGGCTTGCATTGTATCTACAGAGACTGTTCACACATTTTTTAGACAATTTTGCTTTGCTCTAAAAAATCTTGTGCTTGGATTTTTGGATTTTATTCGTTTCATTATTATTAAAAAAATTAAAAGCCATGGTTTTTCAATATCTAAAGCTACGGTAGGTAATGTTTAGCAAAAGGGGAAAAAAAGGTCAAAATTTAGTTTCAAGTGGAAAAATTGTTCCAAATACATACCCAAGGAAAAAACGAAATCTTTCAAATGTTGCAAAAGTAAGATCTTTAATGTTAAAAGAAAATTAAAGGACGGTTGCAAAATCATTAAAAGGCTCTTTCAATTGTAAACAAAGTGATCAATGCTGATTTCAATCCGAAAAAGCATAATGTACTCCGTCTTCCTACATGATGTATAGCAGAATGCACTTCGGAATTCTTTATGAGAAACATTTATCTGTACAAGAACGAAAATTGTTGTCACAATAGATGAATCTTGGTGTACTTAAATGACTGCAGTAAAAATAGATCCATTTATTATCATCAAAGAGAAGGAAAAAATCTTAAACCTTGGTTCAAGAAATCTGAAGGAGGTTTTTCCAAGGGATTTATGATTGTTGCTGTTTTTTTTTTTATATAATGGCAAATTAAAAATAAAGAGAGTGGAGAAAATTGATAAGATCAACTCCACATATTATCAAATATGAAATTCCTTCTTTTTACACACAATGTGATCAATCAGTAGAACTGCATTAAAAAGCAAAGTTAATGACAAGATCTGGTTTCTGCATGACAAATATGAAATTAATATGAAGCTTTATGCACTTAAGATAAAGTTGAGAAACATTTCTAATCTTTTTAAAGTATGACAAGAGACATTTTATCCCATTGCTCTCGAATAGCTTTCTAAGTCTAAGAAAGTTGTAGGCCGACGTTTGGACAACCTGCTATTTAGAAGTCCAAAAGGGCAAAAATACACTAGTAATAATAGATCAGGAGATTTATTAGAGATATGAGTGAAGGGTGTCGCCTTGATATCAGTTTCTAGTTCCAATTTTTCCAAGAAATTAACAATAGATTTTGATGTGTTGCTGCGTCTTTTGATGAATGAAGCTTATTTTTATAAGCACATAATTTGATGTATCTCCATAAAGAAAGACGAAAGGGAATGATTTAAATTGAAAGTAATCTGTAGTATGTGTAACTCATACTTGAAAAAATTAGAAACTTCAGTCAGTGTATAAATAAGAAACATCTTAGAAATAGATCTGTAGGAGTTTACAAATAAAAGGTTTCAGGTCTGTATGGATATCCGTCGGCCAACAACTTTTGTAAATCTGTATCCTTTGTGCACAGTGCTTTCTAAACACTCTTTACTTAACAAGAAAAATAGAAATTATTGCATATATTAGTTTTTTTTTTTTTTTTTTTTAACTGCATAAGAAAGTCTTGAAACACTGGTGGTAGTGTTTGTTGTAGGATACAAAAAGGAATAGATATCAGTCGTAGGCTAAAATAACTGTTCATCTAGAAATATCAATAATATACATGTACTTTATTCAGCATTTTGGTGGCAAGTTATTATTTTTTAATTAATATATTTGATGGAAATGATGTTTTTTCTCAAAATTTCTTTAATTGCAGTGTAATAGACTCCTGCGATGGTGTCCACAGCCGGAATGCAATTATGTTATTGCTGTACAATATGTTGATGCTCAGCCAGTTACTTGTCGTTGTCGTCACACATTTTGGTAAGTTGCCAAATAAGTTGTTATTCTTCCGGAACTGGATTCAAAAATGTATGTATCTGCATATGGGTGTGTTTGTGTACACACACATACATACATACTATATGTACATACTTGTATATACATGAATCCATCCATCCATACATACATACATATATTTGTGAATCGTTCAGATAATAGAAGAATACCAATAAGTTTTAAGTACTCAAATAAATGTAGCAGTAGAAAAGTTATGTTGTCCCTGCATAATTTCATGTACTTACTCGCAGTATTGGAAATGCTGCTGAAATTATTAGATTGTTCCTGTTTATTGAAATAAGTAGACAATTTATGAAGTAGAGGAAAACATTAATTTTGCAGTTGGCTAGGCTTTGAAATTGCATGTGTAGCTTTAAAATTATTACAGTTAGTCAGTGCATTCAATTCAGTGAAAACTGGTTGGAATTTCAGAAAACATGTTTTATTCCACTTTGCAATATTAAACTAAAAATCTGTATTTTATTTAGAACTGTAAGAAGTAGAATGTATAAAAACATATGCTACTTCAGGTGCATTGTTTTTAATTTTATTTGCATCATCATTTGTTCTCTGAACACTTTATTGATGCCTAAGGATTCCTGTCTGCTACTTTTGTAGTTTTGTAGCCATGCCATCTAGCATTCTCTGTGTGCTCTTTGTCCGTTCCCTTTCATGTAATTTTTTTTTTTTTTTATCAGTCTTTGGTGTCTTGCATCAGGGGCCCATATCAGTGCCAGTATTAGATTGTCTTTGGCTGCCATTTTTAATGTATGTTTGATCAAAGTTTGTCTTCTGTGTTTAATTCCTTACGTTGTAGTAACATCTGGGACCCCTATCAATGTCAGATCCAGATTTCCATGGCTAATGTGTGTCCATTCAAAGTTTATCTTCTGCGTGTAATTTCTTCTTTTGCAAGAGTTCTCTTTGTTTCTTCTGTTGTAGGTGTTCCCCTTTTTTTTTTTTTTTTTTTTTTTTTTTTTTTTCATGTAATTTAGCATAGGAAATGGTCCATAGCCAAAAACTTTTATGTCCTATAATGTTATTTCAAGTTTCAGCATGCATGCAGTTGTTTATTTGAGACATATGTAGCATTCTTTCTTTATCACTGCTTTTATACACATGTGCTCTTTTAAATTAACTGAAACAAAAGTGTCTTATGCTATTATTGAGTGTGATGCATTTGTGTAAACATAAACATGGATACCCTTTAAGTTCATTTATGGAATTGTACTTTGTACAAGTTCAATAAAAAATAAATGCTACAGAAGTGGGTCAAAAATTAGTGACAGTTTTTGATGGAGATGCAGTTTTGAATAGAATGTATGGCAGATGGTTAAAAAAATTTGAAGTAGATGATTTTGACCTTAATGATATGGTGCGCTCTGGGCATCCATCTTTAATCGATAATGATATTGCAAAACCATGATAGAGCAAAATTCTTTATAAATATAACATCAGAAATTGTGAAAAAGCTAGCTCAGCAAACTATTTGGGGCCGTATCCAGAAACTAGGATTGGTTCTATAAATATTCCAGATAGATGTCTTATGAGTTAAGTCAGGAAATTTGCATGGTCCAGTTATTGTATGCATACCTCTGCTTGTTCAGAATTGAAACAAACCTTTTTTGGACCTGATGATAACTGCTGATGAAAAGTGAATTAATTGCCAATGAAAACATCATTAGGAAAAAAACATACTGTGAGCCTACGCAACCTGTCCCCTCCACCTGTAAACTGAGTTTCAACCTGAATAAGAGAATACTGTGTATATAATGGGACATCCAGTACCAATACATTACAAACTTTTAAAACCTAAATAAAAGCTCGATTCAGAGAGATACTGTCAGCAAATGGACAATTTAAACAAAGTAGTCAAAGAGAAGAGGCTGACGAAGTTCAGTGAGAAACGCATCTTACTGCATTACGACAATGTCAGGGCTACATGCTGAATGGTGACTCATCAGAAAAAACATAGAGCTAGGCTGGAAATTCTCTGCATCCGCCATACTTCCTAAGACCTAGCTCACTTTGATTTACACTTGTTTCTCCTTGCAAAATTTTTGGAAGGGGAAAAAAATTAAAACTGAAGCAGATGTCAGCCAAGTAACTACTTGAGTTCTTGCTCTCGCAGGACAAGACATTATGAGGTTATAAGTAACGGCAAAATTTTTTATTATACAACAAATGTTGTTAAAAATATGAAAAAAAAAAAAAAAAAAATTTTTTTTTTTTTTTTTTTTTTTTTTTTTTTTTTTTTTTGTAGACATTATATAAATGTTAAGCAGACTTAGATTGATTCTCATAAATGTTTAGAATATATATTTGTATCAGGGTCTTGGAATAGCAAATTTTTCAAAATTTACAGGTTTTTTTTTAATTATTATTGAATAAGTTGAACTAAACTGCATTCATGTTAAGTGAGTTTAATGTTTTGAGTTTTTATCATATCATTAAAAGATAAGGTAAAATTGCATAAAATGAGCAAAAGAAATGAAATTATCAAAAGTAATCCATCATTTTCTAGAAGAGAACACTGTTAAACAATGCAGCCTGATAAACTGATAAATAGAATCTGTTTTGTAGATGATAACAGAGAACATTACAAATTGCAGAAAATAGAAATGTGAGAAAAGGAACGTAGACCTAGGGAAATTCAGGAGAGATAAGAGTTATTAGTTTAGGGAGGAAAAGTGATAGATTAGTGATCCGCAGTCTTATTAAAAAAAGAAAAAAAGAAAAAAAAGAAAAAAATAGAATTTTAAAGTTGTCATCAGAATCCTGAAGTTGCATTTTTGTTACTAAAAATAAAAGCTAAAAATCCCAGTTATCCATAGTCATAATATGCTGGATTAATGTAATTTGCTTAAAGATTCTAAAGGTAATTCAAATGAACCAAGCTACCAAATCACATTTAATTAAAAAATATAGAAGTGACTAAAAATATTGAAATAAATATTGGTAAGTAAAACAGTAATGTAAAGAAATGAAATATGGAGGAGGAAAATAGAAATGAGAAACAAAGAGTGAAAAATTGAATGCTGTTTGATATCTTGTACATAGTAAGATTCCATATGGAATTTCTAATGTGATATAAGGGTTGGGTAGAGTTTTAGTTTGCTCGAGGGTAGTAGTGATATAAATTATTTTTTTGTTATATATTTTAAACTAGGATGTCATTAAATACTTGGCTGCAACAACTTGTACAATACTTATAGTTTTTGACAGCTCCTTTTCATGTCAGGATACCGTACATCAGATTGTCATACCACAGTGAAGAGAATCACCACTACTGACCACATCAATAACCAGGACGTTCGGATTACACACTTCTTGGCTTTTATTGTGGGACTACATTGCACTGAACTTTATGCATATTTAGTATTGCAGAGCCACAAGGGAGAATGCAAATTTCCCAACACTATTCCTCACTGAGTTGAAAAGAGATGAAAACACCCCCCTTCCCCAAAAAAAGAACATTAATTAGTCTAAACAGATTCATACGTTGTCCATACCAAAATTATTCGTTAAATACTGCTGGGCATTTCTCCTGTAGACACATATTTAATGCCAGTTTCCTTTTTCTCATACATCTCTCTAATATAATGAAAACAAGTATCAGTATGTTTTGTTTGAGAGTGATGAACTGGATATTTCACTAAATGCTATGCACTTAGATTGTCATTATGTAACACATTTGGTTCTGTCTTCTTCTCTGAAAAACCCAACTCTCTTAATAACAGATGCTAGTGTATTATCCCCCCCCCAGTTAACACTGTGTATTTTGCTTCAGTACTTGATAGCGGTGCAGTTCTTTACTTGCGTGATTCCCAGGAAATTGGGCTTCCTGTTAATATGAAACTATAGCCACTGAAAGATATTCTGTCGAGAGTATTTTTGGCCAAATCCACATCTACATAACATTTAAGTGCAATATGTTATCTTCATGTATAATGTATATATTGTAGTACGTGATTTGCTTGAATCCAGTGAAATATTTTGGGTTACTGTTAAGTTGACCAAGTCTACTAACAGAATTTGCAGTATCAGGTCGTGTAGATACAGCTAAGTAAATAAAGGATCCAATTAAGCAATTCATACTTATTTTTGTCTACACTTCCATTTTCTTTAGTGACTTTTGATGATTTGCATAATTTAATGTTAAGGTCTAACTGTGTTGATATAGGCTTACACTCTTGTATACCATATTTAGCCAAGAGTTCTTTTATTCACTGAATTAGTTAATAGATACATTTTCATTATGTTTGATGTTAATGCCTAAATACTGTTTCTTTTTACTCTAGTCTCTCATTTCAAAAGTTTTGCTGAGAGTTTTCTTATTGTGTAGCATGAATGATTTGCTTTTAATTATAATTATCAAGTCACACATACATTGTGATTATGATAAGTCATCATCAGTTCCTTTCTGCATATAAATACAATTATCCGAAGTCAACTTTTCGAATTTGAGCTTCCGCAAAGTTTCATCTAGTTTTAGATTCCACATTCGCCCTTCTTACTTAGCTCCATAAATTGACATTTTCAGCTTGCCATTCAGAAGTTATGAAATGTTATGATTGAGATATGAAAATCTCTTCATCTATTTTCCCATTTAAATGTGCTGTTTGAACATCCATTTGATGTATTTTCAGATCATCTTCGAACGCTAAAGTGCGAAATGTTTGTATATAGTTATAGCAAACTATGGCTGAAAATGTTTGTATATAGTCTATTCTGTACTTTTACAAACATCCTTTGGCGACAGGCCTTTCATTTTTCACTTTATTTGGAATATCCATTTGCACCCAACTGCTTTTCTGTTCTCTGGCAAATTGGTTAATTCCTATGTATTTTTCTTCAGTATTCTTCTTGCATAGCTGCTCTCTATATATTTATATCTTGTCTGGATAAAGCTTCTTCTACAATTTCTGGATCAGCAAAGATTTCAGAGTTTACTAAATTAGCATGTTTTTGCTAATAGGTTTCTCTTGGTAATCTGCCTGGTTTTCCTATTTTCAGAAATGTAAGTCTTCTTTGTCCTCTTTCTGAACTTTGACCTTGAATTATGTTTTCTTCAACATATCCTCTTCCTTCATTTAGCACTTCAGAATCATTGTTGGCTTCTGAATTTTCTTCAATAAGAACAAATTCAATGAAATCCTGTTGGTCAATTGTTGAAGTTTCTGATCTTGCTTCAGTTTTTGGCAGTTCAAAAAATCGGACATCACAACTTTGTGTTACATCGGAGGTTATGCAAATTCCCAAACTAGAAACGTATAAAGGTAAGAAAAAAGAGGATATGGTATTATCTTGTCATCCTGTGTAGAAGTGTGAAGTAACTTTTATATAGATAACAATAATTATAAAAAAATAATTTTTCCTCTTTTTATATGCATTGGTATGCACTTAGTTAAAAGTTTTCCAATTGTATTTCAGCAAAATTGTGGTAAAAAATCATCATAATTAGATTTTGTATTTTGCTATATGTGTGTGTATGCAGAGAGAGAGAGAGTATACATGTGTATAATAATTGAAGTAAATTTTTAAAGCTTTGCATGTGGAGAAAACTGGCACGATCCAGTCAAATGCAATTTATTAAGAAAATGGCAGAAGAAATGTGATGATGATAGTGAAACTTCCAATTGGATTGCTGCTAATACGAAGGTATAAATTATAATAAAATCTTACTTTTATTTTCATTTGAATACTTTGTGATAATTATTGTTTTGTGAAAGTTGTTATAATATTTATTTTATTCTGAGACATTGAAGAAACATGGATTCTAAAAGCTGAAATATTTTTGTTTAATAAATATTGTGTATGTATAGAACTGTTTTATTTTGATTTTAAAAGATAAAATTTTCTACAATCAATCAGATGAATTATCATGGTCATAAAATTTTAGATGAAAATTTTTATTATTTTAACAAACTTAATTAACATGGTGCTTTGTTCGAGAATACCATATTTATTGTTCTGTCATATTAATTATAATTGACATTTGGACATATTTATTGTACATATGTGTGTGTGTGACTAATTTCATAATATGTTTTTTACTCAGACAGAAAATAACTGTTAGTGAAAACCATCCCAAACTGCTGTAAATGGTTTCCACTTTAAATTTGGATATTATCATTCATTTTGTGTATGATATTTGGCTTTTGCTGATTTTAGTAAAAAAGTCAGTATTATCACTAAATTATTGGGCTCATGCAAAAGCGCATTAATTTTAGGGGGGATTCAGATTATATGATGAGTGGTTTTACATCGTAGATGACACTGTGATTGAAATTTTCAGCCAATAGATTGCGTAGACAGACACCATTATAAAGGCAGTTTGTAAATCATTTACTAAAAACTTCTAAAGATTTAAAATTACAATGGAGTATATCAGACATTGTTTGCTGTATGAGTTTGATAGAGGCCGCACTGCAGCCCATGAAGAAACATTTGTCAAATGTTTGGGGAGAATGCATTTGATGATATAATGTGTAGTTGCAGGTTTTAAAAAATTGAGGGATGGAAACAGAAGTTGCAAACAATCAACCGCATTCCAGATGTCCTTCAGTGATTTCTGAGCAGATTTTGAACTAAGCCATATTGAATCTACCATGTAAACTCTTGAGAAATTAGTGGAAATGTTATTTGTACTCAGAACAATAGTTTAAAGATGGATGCCCACACTTGGATTCATCACAAGGTTGGATCAGTGTGTTCCATGTAAGCTTTGTGTAAAAAGTGATAAATTAGAAACATTACCTGTTTTTCTTTGTTTCATTGTTTCAGAAGTGAACCATTTTTTGAATACATTATGATGGGTGATGTGAAATAGATACTCAACAGTAGGTATTGATAAAAGCCAGCTGACTGATTGAATGCAACCCTTCTAATTGCTTAATGCAGCCTATTGTTAAATCCTGTGCAATGAAATTTTCATCGTTTTTCTACCTGATTTTGTACACAAACTATTAAAATCAGCAGCAAGCATACACATCTATTGTTACAGTGAATTTATGCATATATGTGCATGACTACACAACAGACTGTACTAGCGATCATTCTAAGTTGAAAACACTAGATATGCTAGTAAGCATACAGTCTTGTAATTACTAGCAGTTTTAATTTAGAAATTAAACAATTAAATGTGTCAATACTGTTGAGATAAAAAGCTTGATTTGAAAATGTAGCTTAGGGAAGGAGTATTTTATCTCTAAATTCTTATTTGAAAACAAAACGATATTTTACGTCGTAGATGACATATGACATTATACTTCTAGATGATGATCATTTCAGATAAGATGTCTTATTTGAAAACATGCCAGTAATTTGATGACCAGTAGAAAGAAATCCCACTTTGGCTTATTTGTAAATTTTTGAAATTTCTCTCAGGGGGATGCATCTGGTATGCCTTTGCTACCACATTTTGAAAGAAATAGGGGCAAGTCAGGATTTTCTCAGTACAAAAGTGTAAAAAAAGTTATGGATTGAAGTAAGTCAAAGAACATGAAATATAGAATGTGTAATTAAATATTAATGTATATTGCATCAGAATTATATAAGTAGTTATGCAAAATGAATCATGCATTTTAGAGTGAATTTAAGTCATCTTGTATTTCTTTTGAAATCCTGCTGCTGCTCAGCACACACACACACACACAGAAAAAAGCCTGGAAACTCCAAAATTTAGAATCATTGGAACACTGACAATTCTTGAAATTTCTGGATTTTAGATCTTCAGTTTAAATCTATTAAGATGACATGTAGAAATTATGAAATTAAAAAATCTGAAATAGTTGGTAATGAATTATAAAGCATTTGTGATCTTAAGGGAGTCAAAATTTACCAAAACTATTTTTACAAAAAATTAAATTTACAAAAAAGCACTATTTGTTTTATTAAACTTGTTAATTTTTTAAATTGTTTCGTTTTTACTAATATTTTCTCTTTAATTTTACTGACAGATATAATTTCTTGTTCAGTTACAAAGTTTCATTGTTCACGTCCTGTTAATTGCCATGTTGAAAATTCCCACTAAATTGTCATTTGAAATTTTTTCATTCTCAACCCGTTTGCCAGTTTCTTCACTATTGGTTGCGATATTTTTTGGGTTTGAAACCACACTATAGTTATTACCATTTATTAGCTGATTGATCATTACAGCATTGTCATCACAATGGAAAACTTTTGTTATAGTATCTTGTAATAGTTGTAATGTTTCAAATGCATCTTGTAACGTTTCAGTATCTGGTAATGTTTCATCTTGTAATGTTTCAAATGTTGTAAAACCTTGGGTATTGATATTGAGAGGAAACCTTGGGTATTGAGGTAATTAAGAATTTTCAAGCCAGTCATTCTTGTTTGTGTCATCCATACTCTTGTATTTAAACCAGCAGTAGTCAAGCCTTAAAACTTCGCGGACCACTACAAGTATAATTTTATATTTGGCGGACCACTAATATCAATTTTAAAAAAAAAAGGTTTTAGCAAACTGCACATATTTCGTTCACATTGAAAAATTGTATAAAAAGTGCAAAAATCGTACCTTCTTGTACAGAAAAGCTTCACATTTCCATATCACTGAAAAGGAACTTCACGAAAAGCAAGAACAAACCGGCAAATGCAAAGCAATATCAATAAACTGACAGTGTTATGCGGCTAATTCTTAATTATTGTAAACATCATAATAATCACTTGAAATTTTGAAGTGTCTTGTACCGTAGTGATTTTGAAGTTTAAGAAACCTGTTGAATATGTTTGTTCGGTTTTGAAGTCCATTTTCTAATTAAGTATTTTGGCTTGAGCAGTTTGCATTGGACCTGCCAATGACACACACTCGCTGTGACATTGACACACCCATTCAATCATTTAACACAATGAATGATTTTTTTTTAATCAGAATCCAGAGAGAATTAAAATTATTCCTTTTCCCATTTTTTTTTAATATCGTATATGTTGATTTTCCTATCACATACTCCTAATATAATTTTAGACAAATGTCTATCTGTTTTTGCAGCAATTCTTGATTGACATTGAGACATGCTTTCACTTTGCAGAACTAGCTCCAGAACTAGAAATTTTTTAGACATAATTAAAAATCCAAACTTATAATTTTGATAAGATAGCTGTAATAAAGGTCCTTCAAAATCTTGCTGCTGAGTGAACAAAAGAAAAGCAGTATTAGCAACTTCCCACTTCAAGCAAGCGACAGAACGGTAAAGACGCTAAACACTGGTAGTTCGGTCCGAGGTTTGAATCCCCCGAACAGGCTGGCTGCATGGGCGTTTCCGTGGTTTTCCCCATGTGTAACGTGTATATGAGCCAGTTTCCCTTAGAAAGTCCTCCACGAAGGCATCCATCCCTTTAGGCAGATAGCCCTTGTGTGCTTTGCCGTAATTAAATAATACAATCCAATCCAATCCCACTTCAAGCAAATATGCCTTGGGGCTTCACTTATTGTTTAGGTTATTCCTCATACTTTAAAATCATCTCAGGCAAGCTATTTTTATTGCTGCAGGTATTGCTGTTGTCTTATAATCACTGAATTTCATAGTCATCTCTCATTGCATACAGAGCATTCTTCCTCCATGGTATAGAGCTTCGTTCTGTGTACAAACCAGTGTTTGCCCAAGCCATCCGACAGAAAAATGTAATCCCCTCACAACTATTCAAATACAAAAAGTGTGATTATGGCCAATGATAATCAGTGTAACTGTCGTTGGTAATGGTCTAGGCCAATAGGTCCCTGCTGTCCCTAGTCAGCAGGTGTTTGAAGGTGACATGCATGAATTTTAGTTCAGTGAGAGGAAAATTGCTTTTATGGCACATCTTTTTTCTCTTAACTATTGTATTTTTCATTTCTAGACTTTATAAAGGAAAAGAAAAATTGTGGGTACTCCAGAGTTCTGGTTTTAGATCATTTCAGATTTTGACATCCAAATTTTGGACTTTATCTTATAATATATTATTACAATATGAAAGACATGTTAAAGTTGCCATATCATTAACAATCATTTGCTTTGTGGTGTCACTATTTTACTCTTCCATTCCTGTGTAAAAAAAAAAAAAAAAAAGTTTTCAATTAACATGATTTTAAATTGTGCATGAACTTGTGTATGTAGAGCAAATAGGTTAGGAACACATACTGAAAATCCAGATTTACGTAAAAATAAGCAGAAATAATTTAAAATCATCTACTTCTATATTGTTTGAGTAGGATAGTCATAGTGCCAGATGCATGTTAGGTCATGTATGCAATGATAAATTAAAAATTTTCATGACATTTAATAACTCAGAAAACATAAGAATATGAAAAGTAGCAAACTTTTGTCTGAGTTTGAAATGCTGGCATGTTATTTGAAAAAAACAATTCTTCCAATGCATATCATTACGGTTGCTGCTATCTAATTGGATTTTGTGCCGACATTTATATTTGGCACTAAATGGTGACCCGCTAACAGAAAAGTATCATTATTTCAATTTCATTTTAGATTTTATAAGGTCATTGAGTATTAAAAAATTAAATCTGATTGAAGTTCTTTACAATCTAATAAAAGCATGGGTTTTGCAGGAATGTCCAAAGTGCAATGCCACCATTGAAAAGGATGGAGGATGCAATCATATGGTTTGTAAGAACCAGAACTGCAAATCAGACTTCTGCTGGGTATGCTTAGGCCCTTGGGAGCCACATGGATCATCATGGTATGTTTACACACTAATTGTAAATTAATATACCCAATCCGTATTCCAAACCAAAAAATTGCACATGAATATTAATTTATGTACCACTAGATTGGTAGTGAAATAACTGTAAATGTTTATTATCATGGTACCAGAGATCAGTTTCCAAAATAGATAGCACTAGTTTGAAAATAGAGTGGGAGATAGCACCAGCAAGATGTAGCTGCAGATGTTAAAAAAAGGTAGAGGTCTGAAAGAGCGATGTCGGGGGCTATAGAGTGGGTGTGGCAGAAGATCCTACGTGAGTCCTTACAGAGTCCAGCATGTGAATGCAGACACATGTAGTCTTGCATTATCTTGATGAAACATTAATGTTTTGCAGAGAACTCAATTTGACGTTTTTCCTTGATAACGGCGTCAACACGGACTAGTATCTCTCTGTACACCTTACTGTTGAGGGTTTTACTTCTTTCTAAATACTTTTGGTGGATAATACCATGGCTATCCCACCAGATGTAAAGCATGATCTTTTTGTTAGTCAAATTGTGCTTGCAACTCGCTCACTGGGTGCAGACCAACCCCATTTTCGGCCTGTGTTGATGTAGATTTGCTTTTTATCACAAGTGACAATCCAGTCCAGAATTTTGTCCTTGTTTTGATATTCAAGCAGATTAGTGCAGCCCAAACATGTCTGTCCTTATCTGCTTGAGTCAGCTCATGAAGCATCCAGTGATTGAACTTGTACGTCAAGTTTATGCGATGCATAGCACAACTACTGGACACTGCACTAAGGTCTGACTCCTTAGCAAGCTCTCGAGTGGTTGCATACTGATCTTATTCAACAAGTTCTCACAGGCAGGCCAACATCAGTAGGTTGGCCAGAGTGTTCTACTTCTTGAATGTAATAGTCCTTGTTTTTGAACTTTCTGTAGTAAACCTTCACAGTGTCATATGATACAACATTAGTACCTAAAGCTGTACACATGATTTGGTGACATTTTGCAACAGAAATAGAAGTAAATGATGGTTCTAATCTGATAGCATGATAGTTCCATTATAGACACCTTGTACTTAATGAAGTTTTTATATATATATAAATTTCATTACATTTTGTTCTAAAGCAAATCTCTTTCTTTCAAATGCCAAAAATCGTTTGACAAAATATGATTAAACATGCCAATGTGAACTGTTTGTGCAGACGATATTTTCAAAGGTAGGAAACTTTCATTAAAACCTGATATTATAAATTAAATCTAAGCCAGTTTGAAATTACCATCCAAAATGGTGTTATCTCACTGTGGGAAAACCTCGTGCAAACTCTGGACTTTTGTGCGAGAAAGGTATCCCCGTTTTTAATATTTCAAGTTTAACTGTGATATTTACAAAAGTTCTGAAAAGTATGTTTAAGGGAGAATATTATTGTAAAATTGTAAACAACACAATATCTTTTTTTCTGCCTTTCTCTGTCTTCTCCTCCACCCATTTAATATAGTACACATTTTTTTGCAACTAGTTTATTATAAAATTTCCAAATATAGAATATAGTTATTGGGTGCATTGTATAAATGGTGGTTTATCACAATTTAAATTTCTGTTTAAGTATGTTCTTTTATCAATTTTATTCTTTTAATGTAATTTTATTTCAAAAGAAGTTTTCTTCAAGAAAATATTTTAAAGCATTAATTAAAAAATATGCTAAAAATTTTATACCAAAAGGGATCTGTCATTTATTTTGTTCTAAGCTGTTGTTTCTTTTCTACAGTATCAAAGCATAAATTATACGTATTAGACACATGAGCCAGAATAATGGGTGATAAATTGAAGCTTCTTAAAAACAAGGGTCCACTATAAAAAAAACAAAAAAAAAAAAAAAAGAATGGTGTTCATGTAAGAGTTTTAAAGCAAAATTTGATTTTTGTGTAGAATGAAATGTGCTTTATCTGTGAATAAATAGTTTATTAAAATTAGAAAAAATTATTCAATTTAATGTTATTTAGATCTTCTTTCTACTAATTCCATAAGTTTTCTTTATTGATAGCTATGGTTATTTTGTATGTGAAATATTTGTGTCACCATGCAAAAAGTTTTTTTTTTTTTTTTTTTTTTTTTTTGTAACATTTCCTCAGGTACAATTGCAATCGATATGATGAAAGAGAAGCCAAATCGGCACGAGATGCCCAGGAGAAGTCTCGAGCAGCATTGCAGAGATACCTATTTTATTGTAATCGTTACCTGAATCACATGCAGAGCTTGAAATTTGAGCACAAGGTTAATTTTTTATTCGTAAAAATTTCTTTAAATAATTGCATATAGTTAACACCCTTTCCATTTATAGTTTTATAAAAATCACACTTTTCCTCCATTAATAGCTGTATGCTTCAGTGAAGGATAAAATGGAGGAAATGCAGCAACAAAATATGTCATGGATTGAAGTTCAGTTCTTAAAAATTGCAGTGGATATTTTGTGTCAGTGTCGGCAAACTTTGATGTACACTTATGTCTTCGCATACTACCTTAAAAGAAACAATCAATCTGCTATTTTTGAGGTAAGTGCAGTTTGGAATATGGTGTTAGTAACAAATCTGTGAAACAAGTACCGTAATTTTAGGTTGATAAGTCGCCTTGGCGTATAAGCTGCAGCAAACATTCGAAAACATTGCACTTAATATTCATATTATGAGTAATTCCTTTTCATGCTGATGTAGTCGTCATTTATAATACAGTCAAAAGTCGTTAATCCGGACCTCAAAGCTAAAAACTTTCTGCGCATGCGCCGCGTTGACACATGCGCATAGGCGTTTATGCGTGCGCGTAAGACCTTTTACGTCTGCGCATATGCGTGTGCACAAGTGCAGAATACGTTTTTGCGTGCGCGTTTTATGTATAACAGACGGTATAAGCTAAAAATTATCTAATTATGTATTTCAGTTAATGTTGATGATTGGCATTGTTCCTTAATCTTCGCATTGGATCCAGATTATTATTTTTTGCAGACTGTAAGAGCAATTTTATAAAAGTAAACTTGAACTTTAGATTATGTCAAATAGAATTTCCGATTCTGGAGCTCCAAAAGGATCGTACAAAACGAAAGTATGTTTCGATGTCCATCAAACAAAAAGTGGAATTGCTGCAAAAAATGGATAAAAGCATGAAGAATGTGACAGAGAGGTTAGTGAAAACGAAAAAATTTCGATTGACAAGTTAGTCGGTATTCTTGGCACAGCAATTAACGGGACTTGAACAGCGGAACTTTTATGTATAACAGATGGTATAAGCTAAAATTATCTAATTATGTATTTCAACTTTAACTGAACAAGAAATTAACTTAACAAGAACTTTAACAGAACAAGAAATTAGGTCTGTTTATAGAATTAAAGAGAAAGTATTATCACATAAAACGAAGCAACTTAAACAACTTATATTGAAAGAAATGTTTAATAAAGTAAACAAATAAATATTAAGCTTTATTTATTTATTTTATTTATTTATTTATTTATTGTAAATTTTGATATTCTTTAGATCATAATTGTTTCTTTATTTCATAAATTACGGTTTCATATTTTTAATTTTAGAATTTCTGCATGCCATCTTACGAGATTTAAACTGATGATCTATAATCCGGAATCACCGAAGTCCCGACGAGTCCAGATTAACGACTTTTGACTGTATTTACAACATAACTATAAAAAGTAGTATATAAATAAACAAACTTTACTTGAACTTGCCAAAAGCGAACTCTTCTGATTTCCAATAAATGTTATTTTTATGGATAAACTATGCTTAACACCATAAATTACTGTATGATGTAAAACAAATATGTAAATTAGATAATCAAACAGAATTTTATAATAAAAATAAATTAAATAAACTGCATTTATTTGTACAAAACTTTTAAAATCCTACTTGTCAGTGTCAGAATTAAATAAACTTAAGAAATTACCATCAAGGTAGCTTTCATCACTCTGTTCTAAATCATTTCTTCCAAAGTCGCTATCTTCATTTTCATTTTCTTCTTCAGTGATTTCCGATTTAGTGAAAACTGATACTCGGACTGAATATCATGCTTTATCAACCCACAAGGCAACCTCTTCATATGAAACTTTTCTCATCCATCGAGAATTTGTCAAAGAATGAAGTCTGTTTTGCATCCATTCCTCCCACTAAATTTTATAGCTCACGCTTAAAAATTCTATTGATAGTGAGATTACTGGCAGTAAAATTTTCATAAGCTTACCTGGTAGCACTGAGATGTCGGTGCTAAGTTTTTTTGTTTGGGATTTTACAGTACTAGCAGAGGCTCATTGAATCCAGAATGCCAAGTCTCCAAGGTTTAAAAAAAAAGTACCCTTTTTCTCGTAAATTTTTTTCAGCCAAAGCAACATCACTTCTTTGCACATCCATCCTTTTTTGTTGCTGCAAATAATGACCACAGTAGAGAAGTTTCATTTTGGACATGTTTTTCTTTTGAAAGTTATTAAAGTGGTTAACTTCACTCTATGGGCAGCACAACTCAAATTATACATATAAGAAGTCGTCCGATTGTTAACATAGAAATAGTTTTTTTCACCTGTTCAATGAACAGTTCTGCTCGGAGGACAATCAAAAATAATGAGCACTTCATCCATATTAATTATTTGCCATCTATTCAGATTTTGTTCTTTAATTTACTTGGAGGTATACTTCAAAAACTATCCTTTTTCAAGCTGTTCCCAATGAAGCTTCTGTCCAACTGTTGTTTTGGTCCTGATTTATAATTTCTTTTGTGTTATAAATCTGAAACAGCGATTAGGTCCACAAAGTTTTTAATGCTTATGTATTGAACAATTACTTTTGCTTGAAGACAAATTCTAACTGTTAACAATGATAGTCCCTTTTCTCTATGCTCTGTTGTCCATTTCTCTAAATTATTTTCCAAAACAGATTGGGCTATGATGCCAGTCCGATATGAACTTTTATTCTTAGGCATTTTTTCTAATTCTTCATTTGGATTTCCACCGTCGAATGCATATCTCGTAGCATGAAATTCTCTAGTCACAGTGGAATTTCCAATTTCTATTGCTTTCTTCATTAAAAACTTAAAGCAGCTTTATAACTTTTTCTTAAAGTAGGAGCCATAATAATAAGAACAATTTAAAAAATTCAACAAGTCAATTGAAAAAAATAAGAACTGCAACAAGAAAGCAATAAAAAAGTCACAAAGTAGAGAAGCACATGTAAAAATTTCTCTGACTACTCTGAAGTAAAAGTTTCTGTGACCCATTGAGGAGAAGATGGCAATCAGAAAATGCAGACAAACCACAGATTAGAGAAATAGTGCATGCACGTCCACACCACCAAGTAGCGGGCATTTGCTTCGAATGTTCCTTGAGCTTTTTTAGAAAATGGCAGATTTAAATTCATTTGGACATAAACCAGGGATGTCAAACTCATAGGTACACTTGGGCCAAACAAACAAGGTTTAACTTTAGGCGGGCCGCAAAAAAAAAAAAAAAAAAAAAAAAAATATTCATAGAAACGTAGATTTATTTCGAATAATAATACAATAATAAACATATATATATATATTTATATAGAAAAGAACAAGAAAAATTTAATGTTTACGTCCTGATACTTGACATCTCTTCTCTGCTATTATCTTTCCTATTTCGGGAGAAATTTTGTTTGCAGTGATAACTTTCAACGCTGACCCAAGGTGAGCATCATTAATACGGTTTCTAATAGGAGACTTATTACCTTTCATGACTGAAAATAACTGCTCGCACCGATAAGTGCTACCAAACATGGAAATAATTTCATATGCGAATTTTCGAGTATTTTCAAACCTGGCTGGTAAATATTTGTAAAATTCAGGCACGCCCACTTCAATGAATTTTGCTTTCAAATTTGAGTTGCATTGAATCTCGATCACCTCCATTTGCATATGGCTGGGTACTGAGTCAATACTTATTGAGAAAATCGAAGAAAACAAAAAAAAAAATTGTCTTCGAGGGAACTAAAATCATTAAACCTCGTTTCAAATTCAGTTGTTAAATTTGCAATTTTTTCTGCGTATTTTTGATACGAACAAGTATCATCTAAACTTGATTTGTTCATGCTGCACGTCGGGAAGTGCGTCAAATCTTCATTTTTAAGTTGTTTTTCCCAAAGAACTAGTTGACATTTGAATGCTTTAATTATGTCAAACATGTTCGTAATGATATGATCTTTTCCTTGTAACGATAAATTTAAATCGGTTAAGTGTTTGGTTATATCAACCAAGAAAGATAAATCTTGTATCCATATTGGATCGTAAAACAAACTTACGTCTTGATTTTTCGTTTTTAAAAACTGACATATTTCTTCTTTCAAATCCCAGAATTGTTTGAGAATCTTGGAGCAAGATAACCAACGTACCTCGGTATAGTAGGACAAACCCGAATATTCACTATCTAACTCACTTAAGAAAGCAGTGAATTGACGCTGATTTAAACCTCGAGATCTTATAAAATTTATAACTTTTTTTATATATGACAAAACATTCTCCATATTTATTACTTTCGTGCATAGAACTTCTTGATGTATAATACAATGCATATGATGAATGTTTGAACCGTGAATTTCACTAAGTTTTTTTTTAGTAATGCTACGAAGCCCTTGTTTTTCCCGGTCATTGATGGAGCGCCATCTGTAGCTACAGAATTTAATTTTGCCAAAGGTAGATTGTATTTCTGCAGAAGTCCAAAAACACAAGTAAATATATCTTCTCCTGTGGTAGTACCAGGTATCGGTATTAGTTCCAGTAATTCCTCAAAAATGTTAAAATTCTTGTCACAAGAACGAAGAAAAAGAAACACTGCTAATTGAGCTTTGCCACTAATGTCCGTGCTCTCGTCACAGGCAATGGAGAAACTTTCGAAACTAGATGATTTTGCTTTGATCTGATCACTTAAATTCGCGGCTAAATCAGTAACTCTTTCCGCAACTGTATTTCGAGACAATGAAATTGATTGAAAAGCCTTCACATTTCCAGGACAAACAATTTCTCCAGCTTTCATTAGGCATTCCTTGATGAAATCACCGTCAGTAAAAGGCTTCGAATGTTTAGCTATCAACTCGGACAAGACGTAGCTTGCATGTACCGCCGCTTCACTTTCTTGCAATACTTTACTAAACATGGACTGTTGCTTTTTCACTCCTAACTTGAGCTCTTTCAACTTTTCTTCTCTCATTAATCCTTCGTAATTGTTATATTTCGATTTGTGTTGTTCGTAATGACGTTTAATATTATATAACTTTGGTACATTAATAGTATTATTACATATCAAGCAGATTATTTTATCTTTTATTTCACAGCAAAAATATTCTAATTCCCATTTTACTTGGAATATTCTATGTTCGTCAGCGATTTTTCGTTTAATTTTACTACCACTTGGTTTTGATATAGACATACTGAATACAAAGGGCTGGAATAAACACGGTTAACGTTAAAAAGTTAACAAAAATTTATTCTTTCCACAAGAGATAAATCAAAATGCTGAAATATTTCTTCAAAAATATTCTAACAATA